ATTTTATACTATTATTATTATTGCAGTCGCCAATATTCCTATCGCCATTCTTATTCCTATTTTCATTCTTATTCTCCTTATTATTATCATTATTATCATTGTTATGCACATGATTGTGATCATTATATCTATTATGATTATCCTTTTCATTGTAACTGTTATAATTGATATTGTCATTATCATTATTATTATTATTACCACTATGATTATTAATATGATTATTATCGTCCTTAGTTTTGTTACTATCGTTATTGCTATTGTTATTGCTGTTATTGTTATTATTGTTATTATTGTTATTATAATTGTCATCATTATTTTTATAACAATTGTTATTATCATGTGTCATTATCATTATTATTATTGTTGTTATTATTTTTGTTATTATTGACATTATCATTATTATCATTATTGTTATTTATTATCTTATTATCATCATCATTATTGTAATTATTATTATCATTATTGTCTTTATTATTATTGTCCTTTTTGTTATTATTGTTATTATTATGTTCATAATAGTACTACTACTACTACTAACAATAATAATGATAGTTATTATTATTATAATTATCATTATTTTTATTATCATTATTTTAATTTTCATTATCATTAATAGTATGGTTATTATTATCATCAACGTACTATTATTATCATTATTATTATGAATTTATTATTATCATTATTATTATTATGAACTTTTTATTATCATTATTATTGACGGGGTATGATTGTATATATAAAGAGACGACTATCTACTAATTAATTATTCTATGAAAAATTCTCTAGATATTTATTCGTTATAAGTTCTAATAACAGTATTGATATAACGTCAGTGCTTCATAAAAGCCGCACTCGTTTAATTAATGATGATTAATTAATCCTGAGAGATTAAAGAATAGCAGTATTAAATGTAAAAAAAAAAAAAAAAAGTTTTGTGCCTTAAGGATTAAGATAAAGACAAAATGATAAAAGTTAGGTAACGTTGATAAGGATGATTATATTTATTGTCACGATGCAAGATGAAAATGTAGATTTATGTAGATATTATTATCCGTTACTATCATTACTGTTATTATCATTATTATCGTTATTATTATTATTATAGCTATACTATTATTGTTATTATCATTATTATTTATTATTATTATTACTATTATATATTATTACTATTACTATATATATTATTATCATTATTATTATTATTTATTATTACTATTGCTATACTATTGTTATTATTATTATTATCATTATTGTTATTATTACTATTACCTAAATTGTTATATTATTATATCATTATCATTATTATTGTTGTTGTTGTTATTATATTAATCATTTTCATCATTTTCATGACAATTATTATTATTACCACTCGAAAACCACAATAATAAAAAAATAAAAATAATAAAAATCTCAAATCTTAACCCAAATCTCTCTTACCCCCAAACCCCCACGCGCCCACCTCCACCCCACCACCACCCCACCACCCCCACCTCCACCCCCACCCCCCCACCCCACCTCCCCACCCCACCCCCCTCTATTTCCAGGCGACGCAAACGCCCTCCTGGCCGTCGTGTTCCACTCGGGCCTCGTCTACCTCCTCCGCACCCACGACGACCTCACGCCCGTGGTCGTCAGAACGGGACTCAGGGGCATTCAGGTGAGTACGGGGGTAGGGTAGGAAGGTTAGGAAGGGTTAGAGGGTTAGGAGGGGGGTGGGGGTATTTAAAGGGGGTGTTTAAGGGGTATTGAGGGGAGTATTTTAGGGGTGTATTTAAGGGGGTATTTAAGGGGGTATTCAGGAGCATTCAGGTGAGTACGGTGGGTATTTAAGGGGTAATTTAGGGGGATTTTCAGGAGGTATTCAGGGGCATTCAGGTGAGTACGGGGGTAGGGTAGGAGGGTTTAGGAAGTTTAGGAAAGGGTTAGGAGGATTAGGAGGGGGGTGGGGGTATTTAAAGGGGGTATTTAAAGGGGGGTATTTTAATGGGGTATTGAGGGGGTATTTAGGGCTGTATTTCAGGGGTATTTCAGGGGTATTAAAGGGGTTAAGGGGTATTTAGTGGGCATTCAGGTGAGTACGGGAGTACGAAGGAGGGGGTATTTAAGGGGGGTATTTAAGGGGTATTAAAGGGGGTTATGGGGTATTTATTGGGTATTCATGCGAGTACGAGGGCAGGGTAGGATTGGATTGGAGGGTTAGGTGGGTATATTTAAGGGTATTTAAGGGGTATTTAGAGAGTTTGAGGGCGGTGTAGGTTTTTGGACAGGAGGGTTAGGAGGGGGGGGTATTTAAGGGATATTTAAGGGGTATTCAGGGGTGGGGCCTTCAAATGAGCCCAGGGGAGTCGAGAAGGATTTAGGTGACTCGAGACCAAGGTTTCCCACCTAGAAGGGGGGGGGGGGTCATGGCCTCAATCGGGATCATGGGATACTTTCGGGGGGGGGGGTTAATGCAGCAGTGGAAATCATGACCCCCATTAAGCTGGGTTTTGTCTCACCTTCTGTACCTTTAGAAAGGTATCTGTCATATATCAATTCACTCGATTTTTTTTTTCACACAGTGTTCTTGTCTTTGCTATTGGCACCATTTCGCTATTCATTTATAACTAGTAATATCTAACCTGACGACCAGTGTTCTGTCCTTGCTATTGGCGGTAATATCTGAACCTGAACAACAAAGGCCATGGACTTTATTATATCCTGGTCGGGGGTCACAGAATAAAAAAAAAGTTGGGAATCGCTGCTCTAGACCAAGGGGCGCTGTGACGAACCAAGGGACGTCGAGGTAAATCAAGGGATTTTCCACACTTATCTAAGGGGGAACGTGTCCTTATATCTCCCTTAGATACCCAAGGAACTTTCAAATCTGAGGGAACACCTGATACTTTCAAGGGCTCCTAACTAAATCTAAGGGGAACATCTGTTCTAATACCCCCTTATACACCTGTGGAACATCCAAACTCATCTAGGAGACACACCTGTCCTAATATCCCCCTTATACACTCACGGAACATGAAAACACACCTGTCCTAACTAACTACAAGTGACACAGGTGTCCTAATACACCCCCTTATACACCTGTCCTAACACCCCCTTATACCCGCAGGTGGAGTGGACCAACTCCGGAGAGGTGCTGGCCGTGGCGGGGCATCTTCCCGACGAGGGCTGCAACACGTCGGCACGGCCACACCCACGGTCAGGAACGTGGTCAAGTTCTACACGAGGGGCGGCTCCTTGCGGTACACGCACCACCATCACCGCTGTGTCAGGTATGGGTGGTGTTGCTTGGTGTTGCTGTTGGTGGTGGTGTGTTGGTTGTTGTTGTGGGGTTGTTGTTGTTGGTGGTGGGGTTGTTGTTGTAGTTGTGGGTGATGGTGGTGGTGGTGGTAGTGATGGTGTTTTTGTTGTTGTTGTTGTCACTGTAGTTTCTGTTGATGTTTGATGGTGGTGTTTGTTATGGTGTTTTGTTGTTTGATGTAGGTGTTGGTGTTGTAATTTCTGTTGTTGTATTTGTTGTTGGTGGTGTTCTTGGTGATGGTGTTGATGTTTAGATGATGTTTGGTGTTGCTGATGTTGTTGTTGAGTATATTGATGGCGGTGTAGGTTTTTGTTTTATGTTTGTATTGTTATTATCGTTGTTCTTACTGTTATTGCATCGTTATTTTATGTTCATGTATCAGAATTTTTATTATCATTCTTTATTGTCTTCTTTCCATTAGCATGATCATTATCATCTCCATCACCTATTCTCTTTATGATAGAAAAAACGAAAGCATAAGGAAGATGGAGACGATGAAATTAAAAGAAAAGGGAGAAATAGAATAACAGACGACGAAAAGGAAAAAAAGAAAAGAATTTCGCGCAGTAAAAAAAAAAAAAAAAAAAAAAAAAAAAAAAACAGCAATAACAAAGTAATTCTTTCCACTCAGCGTTTACACGTCATCCCCCCTCCCCCCCCCCCCCCCCCCCCTCCCGCCCTCTCCCCACTACGCCCCGACCTCTCTACCCTTCTAGTCCCCTCCCCCCCCCCATCCCCGTCTCTCTAGTGTTCTTGTCACGCTATCACACTTGCATTTACATTTACAAATACGCACACGCACACATATACACACATGTACACGCACACGTACACATCACTCACTCACCTCTCATCTCTCTCTCTCTCTCTCTCTCTCTCTCTCTCTCTCTCTCTCTCTCTCTCCTCTCTCTCTCTCTCTCACACACACACACACACACACACACACACACACACACACACACACACACACACACACACACACACACACACACACACACACACACACACACACACACACACACACACACACACACACACACAACACACACACACACACACACACACACACACAGCACACACACACACACACACACACACACACACACACACACACACACACACACACACACACACACACAGACACACACACACACACACACACACACACACACACACACAGAGAAGACGACGTTCATACACGCTTTCACATAATAGTTGCAATCAACAGGACACCTTGCTTGCATGAAATTATCACTTGTTGAATACCTGTGGAGTGTGTTGCCAGGTGGGGATTCTCCATTTGTTTCTTTGTTCGTGTTATATATATATATATATATATATATATATATATATATATATATATATATATATATATATATATATATATATATATATATATATATATATATATATATATATATATATATAATAATATATATGTTTTTTTCTTTCTTTTCTTTTCTTTCTTTTCTTTCTTTTCTTTCTTTTTCTTTTTCTTTTCTTTTTTTTCTTTTTCTTTCTTTCTTTTCTCTTTCTTACTTTTTTCTTTTCTTTTCTTTTCTCTTCTTTTTCTTTTCTTTCTTTCTTTCTTCTTTTCTTTCTTTTCTTTTCTCTTTTCTCTTTTTTCTTTCGTTTTTTCTTTTTTCTTTTCTTTCTTTCTTTTTCTTTCTTTTTCTTTCATTCTTTCTTTTTTCTTTCTTTTTCTTTTTTTCTTTCTTTCTTGTTCACTCTCGTTTGTTAAGAAGCATAAGAGTCAAATCGTATAATAATCAGTAAATCAATGATGAGCGAAAAGTGACAAATAAAATAGTTTTTGAATTTCAAGAAATATAATAAATTCAGTGAATAGATTTGCTGAATAAATGAGGGAAAGGAAAGCGTGACTGAATCTCATGCTGAAAGCTGCAAAAGCGTGCATGAATGTTGCTTCTTGTGCATGACACGGACAGTCCGTTGGCGACACCGTGCCTGGCAGCTTTTATTGTTGTTGTTGTTTTCTTTTCTTTTCTTTTTCTTTCTGGTTTTGCGTCTCGTGTCTTCTTTCATTTTTTTATCGTTTTTCTTGTTAGGTTATTTCGGACCTATTTTTTTTTTCTTTCTCTCTTTGTCTCTGTCTCTCTGTCTCTGGCTCTCTCTGTCTGTCTGTTTTCTCTCTCTCTCTCTCTCTCTCTCTCTCTCTCTCTCTCTCTCTCTCTCTCTCTCTCTCTCTCTCTCTCTCTCTCTCTCTCTCTTCCTCTCTCTCTCCTCTCTCTCTCTCTCTTCTCTCTCTCTCTCTCTCTCTCTCTCTCTCTCTCTTCTCTCTTCTCTCTCTCTCTCTCTCTCTCTCTCTCTCTCTCTCTCTCTATCTATCTATCTATCTATCTATCTATCTATCTATCTATCTATCTCTATCTATCTATCTATCTATATATATATATATAATATTATATATATATATATATATATATATATATATATAGAATCTATCTCTCACTCTCTCACTCTCCCTCCCTCCTCCCTCCCTCCCCTCTACCCCTCTCCCCCCTCTCTTTTCATAAAAAACATAATTTCATTCTAGCGTATTTATGCAATTCGAGTTTATGGCACGACCGTGTTATGAGCAACTGCAGTCATTACCTGTTCTAATTAAGTTCATTAAGGTAGAGCGCCCAAGATGGTCTCCTACCTGTGCCGCAGCATCCTTCTTCTCTGTGTGTGTTTCTTTGTCTCTCTCTCGTTTTCTGTCTGTCTTTGTTTTTTTCTGTCTCTTTTTCTCGTCGTCTATCTGTTTGTTTGTTTGTTTGTTCTCTTCCTTCTTTCTTTCTCTCTCTCTTTCTCTCTTTCTTCTCTTTCTCTCTTTTCTCTCTTTCTCTTTCTCTCTTTCTCTCTTCTCTCTCTCTCTCTCTCTCTCTCTCTCTCTCTCTCTCTCTCTCTCTCTCTCTCTCTCTCTCTTCTCTCTCTCTCTCTCTCTCTCTCTCTCTCTCTCTCTCCTCTCTCTCTCTCCTCTCTCTCTCCTCTCTCTCTCTCTGCTCTCGCTCTCCGCTCTCGCTCTCTCTATCTATCTCTATCTCTCTTTTGATTGACTGCCTGATTGACTAACGAATGACTGACTACCTGACTCTCTCTCTCTCTCTCTCTCTCTCCTCTCTCTCTCTTCTCTCCTCTCTTCTCTCTCTCTCTCTCTCTCTTCTTCTCTCCTCTCTCTCTCTCTCCTCTCTCTCTCTCTCCCTCTCCATCCCTTCCCCCCTCCCCTCCCTCCCTCATCCCTTCGATCCTCTCTCTCCCTCCCTCTCTCTCTCTCCTCTCTCCCTCCCTCTCTCTCTCTTCCCTCTCCTCCCTCTCTCTCCCCCCCTCCCTCCTCATCTCTCCCCCCCCTCTCTCTCTCCTCCCCCCTCCCCTCTCCTCTCCCTCCCTCTCTCTTTCCCCCTCCCTCCCCTCCCTCCCTCTCCCTCCTCCCCCTCTTCTCTCCCTCCTTCCCTCCCTCTCCCCCCTCCTCCCTCCCTCTCCTCCTCCTCTCTCTCTCTCCCTCCCTCGCCTCTCCTCCCTCTCCCCCCTCTCCCTCCTCCTCCCTCTCCCTCCCTCTCCTCTCCTCCCTCCCTCCCTCTCCCTCCCTCCCTCTCTCTCCCTCCCTCCCTCCCTCCCTCCCTCCCTCTCCCTCCCTCCCCTCTCTCTCCCTCCCTCCCTCTCTCCCTCTCTCTCTCTCTCCTCTCCCTCCTCTCTCTCTCCCCCCTCCCTTCTTCTCCTCCTCCCTCCCTCCCTCTCCTCCCTCTCCCTCCCTCCCTCTCTCTCCTCCCTCCCTTCCCTCCCTCCCCCTCCCTCTCTCTCCCTCCCCCTCCTCCCTCCCTCCCTCCCTCCCTCCCTCCCTCCTCCCTCTCTCTCTCCCTCCCTCCCTCTCTCCCTCCTTCCCTCCCTCCTCCCTCCCCTCCCTCCCTCCCTCCTCTCTCCTCCTCCCTCTCTCTCCTCCCTCTCCCTCCCCTCCCTCCCTCCCCCGCATGAATTAAAGCCACGAGGCGAGAATAGCATAACTTCATGTCTGTTTATGAATGAGTGAGTAGGACTTGTGTTTATGATGTCATTCATTGAGTTTATGATGTCATTCATTGATAAGTTTATGCGGACGGATCACCTCGTTCATCATTGATGATGTGATCACTCTGTTCTAGATAGATTCATTGTTTACTGGTCTGTTTTTTTTTTTTTTATTTGTTTTGTTTGTTGTTGTT